CTTAGTGGCTCTAAGCACTGAAATGTCACCCAATTGAGTCCTGACTTGTCACGATGCTGACATACAATGCATGCTTTGAAATATCACATTCTGGCCAAAAATATTTGGATGCCCCAGGCACCCAAACATTATGGCCCAGTGGCAATAATCGGCACATTTGTGTGGGGCCCCCGTGTGTGCAGGGCCCAGTTCTAAGAATTTCACGTGGGCTACTTCATTGAATCCTTGTGTCCACCTTATGAGGCAGTATCATTGCCTCCTCCCTGCAAGTGAGGAAACTGAGGACTGAGAGGAAGAGTCCTGGGAGGGAGCAACGGCAATTTGGGCCCAGGCAGCCTTCCTAGGGCCATGAGATCGATCAGCATTCCCAGTGGATTGTCTGGAATGATGTTGTCAAGTGGCTCAAAGAAAGTGAAAATAATGGCTCTCACAGTGGGGAAAGGGGAGATCTACTTCTCCGGGGGAGGCTGTCCTGGGCAGTAAGCTGGACAGCGCAGGACCAGTTCAGAAAATTGTAGGAGTGGCTGGAAGTCTGACAGGGAGGGAGGACAACAAGAAAGGAGCTTGGCACCCATTGCCCCTGGGGAGCAGTACATACAACACAGCCTGCTCATACCCTCTGCTGAAAACGCTTCCCTGGCTTCCCATTGCCATTCAGATAAGTCCAACGTCATTACCACAGCCACCAGACCCTGCTCATCTCCCCAGCACCACTTGTACCTTTCTTGCCCCACACCTTCTCTGGCCTTCTTCAATCCCTCAGGGAAGCTGAGCTCTCACCACAGGGCCTTTGCACATGCTGTTTGAACTTCCCGAACACTCTATCTAATGCCACCCAGACATCAAAGTCCAGTCTAAGCTTTGCCTCTTTGGGGAAGCCCTTCTGACCTTCCTTTGCCCCAGGTTGGTCCCTAACCCTGTGACCCTCTCAAAATACTGTGTTTCCCTCTGTGTAGCACTCTTCAGAGGTGTGAATTTTTACAATTATGGGTTGTCTCTTCAGCCAGAATGTAAATTCCAAGAGCTTGTGCACTGGTTGCGGCTCCCCATTGCCTCTCCAGAGCATAGCAAAGGCCCTGGAATGTAGTAGGTGCTCAAGAAATCCTTGGGGCGTGGATAAATGCATGGCCATGTGGATGTGACCATCTGCAGAAGCCCTAGGAAAGTGAGCTGTGGCTCCCAGGCTGCAGGACCCAGTGTGCCCCTGTCCCACATATGGTGCACCTGCAGCCAGGCCTCTCAAAGTGCAGGGCCACCTCGCTGCTAGGTGGCAGCAGCTTCTCCTACAGCCTTTTCCACAAGCTCTCTGGTCCCCTTTCAAGGAAATCAGCATTCTATCATTCACAACGCACAAAGGCATGTGCCCATTTCTGGGCAGCCTCAATTTGAAAGACGCTGACTTTTTCCTCTATGACAATTTTTTAAAAAGCAAATTCAAATTCTGCCCTTTTACCCACTGCAGATTTCAACACTTTTCTGAAAAGTGAACTAAAAAAGAAAAAGCCACTAATGCTTCTTTTAAAGAATTCACTTCAGAACAAATTCCACATAAGTGGCACCTCATGGTTATAGAAAGAGGCCAGTCTTCCTGGGAGGGGGCAATCCTACATTTTGTAAAAACAGACAAATCACAGGGGTTTTTCAGTCCCTCATTTGACCTATATTTAAATACCCACTGTATGTGCTGGGCCCTAGCTGAGTGTGGGAGATAAATCAGCAAGAAAAAGAAGGCTGACAGCCAAGTGATTTTTCTATGAATATCTTTTTATATCCAGGCTTTGAAGGGTGAATAAACACACATGCTTGCACATGCACACACATGCACTACCACCCAGCATGTGGAAGGGCCTGGAAAACCCATTTGTCAGTCGGCCCATTTCTCACCCCAGGCCACAAGGAGGCAGCACGCAACCCAACCTGGCCTTCATGGTTCCCAGAGTCTAGCGATGCACCTGCCTCCTGAGCAGGACCAATCAGAATCCTTCCCTGGGACTCATGTCAGACACGGGAAGCACATCTCTGTCACGTGGCTGGGGGTTCTGAGTCAGAATGTCACCAGTTGGCTTCTATGGAAAGCCACCTTTTCCAATCCCACAGGCAAGGGTGGGGGTCCTGCTGAGTGGGCAAGACCATAGCCGGCACAGCCAGGGAGGCCATCATGTCTCTGACCCCTGGTGCCTGCTGAAGCCAAGGCCAACCACATGGCATGTCCCAGCCACAAGGGATAAGATGCAGGTCTCTTTGCTAGTTGAGCTGGTTTTCAGGCACTTGAAGCTGGGAGTCCTCCATCCTGCACAAGTAGGATGGGGGCAGGAGGGGCGAAAGGCACAGTGGGAGGAAGTAGGATGGGTTTGGAGACTTCTCTTGGTGACAGCTGCATGGGCACAGAACGTGCAGCAGAAGGCCAGAGCCTTTGCACAACAGAAAAGGCAAAACTGGAGAAAGACAGTGGGAAGAGGCCAAGGTCCCCTTCTTCAGAGCTGTAGAAACAACAGTCCCGATCCCAAGGGGAAGTCTGGAACACAGAGGTGCCACTTGCTTGTGGGAATGCTGATGACCTTCAGAGGATATGACCTGGAACAGGTGCTGTGGAAGGGTTGCCTTCTGCTCCCTCTTGTTCTTGGGGAAACTCCAAGGAAACTCTGGGCATTTATCTTGACACGAAATAGAGAAACAAATCCTGCAGTTCCACAGAGAGAGAAGGCCATCAACGCTTGCTCTATCCAGGGGCCATTCAATGAGTGATGGGGTGTGACCAGCTGAGGCCAGGTCACCTTGTCCGCAGAATGAACATGTAAGGAAGGAAAGCAGAACAATATGGCATTAAAAGCAAATGCTGGGCAGTTCCCACAGCCAAGAAAGCAGAGCTTAATAGCCAAGGGGTGGAATCAACCCAGCAATGAGTAAACAAACTGTGGTCTAATCATACAGTGGAATATTATTCAGCCATTAAAAAAGAATGAAGTAGTGACACGTGCTACAACATGACCGAACCTCTAAAACATGCCAAGTGAAAGAAGCTAGGTGCAAAAAGTCACATAATGTAAGACTCCATTTCCAGGAAATACCTGGGGTAGGCAAATCCACAGACAGAACATAGACTGGTGGTTGCTAGGGGCTGGGGAAGGGAGGAATGGGGAGTGACTACTTAATGGGTATGGGGTTTTCTTTTGGGGTGCTGAAAATGTTTTGGAACTAGAAAGAGATGATGGTTGCACAACATCGTGAATATGCCTGATACAACTAAATTGTTCACTTTAAAATGGTTAGTTTTATTTTATTTTATTTATTTATTTATTTATTTTTATTTATTTTAAAGATGACCGGTAAGGGGATCTTAACCCTCAACTTGGTTTTGTCAGCAACGCACTCTCCTAAGTGAGCCACCGGCCAGCCCTAAAATGGTTAGTTTTATACTGTGTGAATTTCACCTTAATAAAAATAAAAATTTTTTAAAGGTCAGTGTCACCTTTCGCAGAGTGATGGAGACGCAAAAGATTACTCAGAGCCCATGTATTCAGAGCAATGAAAAGCCCGATGGGACTGCACCAAGGAAAACTCCTTCAGGAGAGGAGAGCCCAGGCACACCCTGAGTCAGTTGCTTCAGTTTTTATTGTAAAGACAAACTTACAGAAGAAAAACAGGTGGTTAATCAATCATAGTGAAAACGTAAACTGGCTACGTGACAATCTTCATTAAAGAAGTTGTAGTTTAAAATAGTTTAAGCAATTTACCATGAAAAGGAATCATAAAGGGCCGGCCTGTGGCTCACTTGGGAGAGTGCAGTGCTGATAACACCAAGGCCACGGGTTCTGATCCCATATAGGGATGGCCGGTTTGCTCACTGAGTGAGCGTGGTGCTGACAACACCAAGTCAAGGGTTAAGATCCCCTTACCGGTCATCTTTTAAAAAAAAAAAAAAAAAAAGGAATCATAAAGCTAAACTATGTGATGAACAAAAGGAAACAATAAGATAATCTCCAAAGCGCTTAACTCTGCAAGAAACTCAAAGAAACAGCTTAGGGCAAGATGTGGAACATCCCCCAAGCACTAACTAGCAGAATATCCTTGCAGCTTTTATTTTATTTATTTATTTATTTATTTTAAAAAGATGACCGGTAAGGGGATCTTAACCCTTGACTTGGTGTTGTCAGCACCACGCTCACCCAGTGAGCTAACCGGCCATCCCTATATAGGGATCCGAACCCATGGCCTTGGTGTTATCAGCACCACACTCTCCCGAGTGAGCCACGGGCCGGCCCTTCCTTGAAGATTTTAGCTCACATACTTTCCCAGCATTTAGGTTGAGCTGCACAAAGAGCAACTGCTCCCAGAGCAATCACTTTTCACTGTGCTTCAATTCTCTTAGCTACATCAAAGGCTTTAGTCCTGTGAAAGTTTTCTGGTCTTGCTTAATCTTAGCATTTCTACATGTTTTCCTAAATGGTTGGGCTTTGGCCCCCTAAACTAGAGGCTTTTGCCTCCTAAACGAAGGACTTTGGTCCTCTAACCTACAGGCTTTGGCCTTTTACACTAAGGACTTTTGCCCTGCGAAATACACGTGTTTTATTTCTATCTCATTAATAACTTCTTAGTCAATATCCTCTTCAGGTCAGAGCTTAAAAACACAACCCAGGAAAACTGAGGGGGCTGGAAAGCAGTGAGCTCTGCTGCAGACGCAAGAGAAGGGCGCTGGGCCTCCCGTGGCCCTTCCTGTTTTACTGCTTATTTAGCTCTTGTCTGAGACATTTACTTATGGACTTAGAAAAAGGTTAACTTAGATTTCAAAGGCCAGGGCATGCCAGCTCAGGACAGGGCCTGATGGCGGCCTGGAGGGGAGGCTCTCAGCTTTGGGGGAGAGCAAGCCTAGGGGGAAGGACTGTGCAGCAGGCGGCCAGGGAATCTGGTGCAGGCCAGAGGTCTCAGAGGAAGACCTCATGAGCAGGGTGCTGTAATAAGGCAGGAGGGAGTGCACTGGGGAAAACTCACTTGTGCAGCCAGATGAGAGGGAGACTGAGGCAAAGAGACCAGCCTGGAGTCTGGGGCAGCAACAGAGGCAACAACCCTGGGCTGAACTGGAGCCCTAGAAAGTGTGGCATCCTGGGCTGGGAGATGCAGCGGGCTGGAGAGCCAGTGGAGGGTCTTTGGGTCAGGGTGGGGAGCCCAGGCTGAGCAGCGCTGGGCACAGGGGTGCAAACAGCAGGAGCAGGCTTGCTTCAGGCTGAAGACAGAAAAGGGGGACAGAGGAGGAGTGGGTGGAGAGGTAGAGGGGAAACCAGAGAGGCTGAGGCCGAGGCTGCCAGGTGAGGAGGGTGAAGGGGACGGGGGGGAAAGGTCACCCTGGTGACTGCAGGGGAGCTGGGGCTTTGGGAAGCTGGGTCCTGGGGCCAGTGCTGGGGAAGTAGCAGTGCAGCAGCAAACCTGTCCCCTGATCAGGGAGAGGCAGGGAGGCCTGAGGGGAGGTGGGTCCAGGAAAGGGATGTGGACTGGAGGGTACACACATGCACACGTGTGAACATGAAAGATGCCAACACATGCTCACACACTCACACAAACGTACAAAACCAGCCACAGCCACATACAAAAACAGACATACAGAAACACAGCCCCCCCAATGCTCACATGTGCACACACACGCACAGATGCACTTACACATGTAGGCACACATGCAGAGACAGGCCCAGGCCCACAGCTGATGTTCATACATAAGCAGATGCACATGCAGCCACAGACATCCAGACCTCCAACACAGGAGGTCCAAGCACACAGCCACACTGGAACACACTGTCATTTGTACACATGTGTCGACTGTCTCTCACACACACACACATACACACAAACACACACACACACACACACACACACACACACACACACACACACACACACACACACACACACACACACACACACACACACACACACACACACACACACACACACACACACACACACACACACACACACACACACACACACACACACACACACACACACACACACACACACTCTCTTTCCTGCCAAAACAGACTCATTAGTAGAGATGCACATACAGAGGCCTGCACTGATTGTGAGTGTAATTCTGTCCACACACACCCACGCAGCAGGCATACCCACATGGCAACATGACCAACCCCCTGGGAAGGAAGCTCTGGGCACCCCCATAGAGGCTGCCTTGGCTCTGGAACCCCAGCACCAGAGCCTGCCTGGGAAAGTGAGACAAACCACAGCCATTGCCCAACACACCCACCCTGTCCAGCCCAGGGTCAGAGGAGCCGGGGCCAGGCCTCGCGTGCCTGCCTATGCATTGGTTGCTACCGGCAGCAGACACCCAGCCACCGACGCAGACAGCTGGGATTGCAAGGGATCTTGCAAAATCTTTCCCGTCCCTCAGGGTTCAGCTAAAGTGTCTCTTCCCCCAGGGAAACTCCCCAGGCTCCTGTGGGCATATTTAACCTTCTTTTGGAATTCTGGTTCTGCCATGCTCAGCTGTGTGACCTTGGGCAAGTCACTTTATCTCTCTGTGCTTCATTTCCATCTGTATAAAATGGGGATAACAAAAGCACACATATAATGGGGATAACGAAGCATGTATATATGAATACAAGTGCAGTCGTGCATCACTTGATGGGGATATGAGAAATGCATCGTCAGGCAATTTCATTGTCATGCAAACATCACAGAGTGCACTTACACAAACCTAGATGTCCTAGCCTACTACACACCTAGGCTCTATGGTACAGCCTGTTGCTCCTAGGTTACAAACCTGTACAGCATGTTACTGTACTGAATACTGTAGGCAATTGTAACACAACGGTCAGTATTTGTGTAGCTAAACATATCTAAACATAGAAAAGGTAGAGTAAAAATAAGGTATAATTAAGATAAAAAAGGCACACCTGTGTAGGGCACTTACTATGAATGGGGCTTGCAGGACTGGGAGTTGCTCTGGGTGTGTCAGGAATGAGTGAACGTGAAGGCCTGGGATGTTACTGCCCACACTGTAGACCTTATAAACACTATACACTCAGGCTACGCTAAATTTATATTAATTTTTTTCTTCATTTAATAATAAATTAACCTAAGCTTACTTTCATTTTTTTACTTTATAACCTTTTAAATTTTTTTTAACTTTTTGACTTTTTTGTAATAACACAGCTGAAAACACAAACACATTGTACAACTGTACAAAAAACTTCTTTCTTTATATTCTTATTCTATAAGCTTTTTTTTTCTTTTAACTTTTTTGTTAAAAATTAAGACACAAACACACACATTAGCCTGGGCCTACACAGGATCAGGATCATCAATATCACTCTTCCACCTCCACATCTTGTCCCACTGGAAGGTCTCCTATGGTAACAATGCCTTCTGGAATACCTCCTGAAGGGCCTGCCTGAGGCTGTCTTACAGTTAACTTTTTAAAATCTTATGACCATATATGAATTATCTACCGGAGCACACCCCCTGCCTCCCTGTACAGACGTGTGCAGATGCGAATGAGGGAAGCAGCTCCCCTGTGCTCACACTGTAAGCCACTGCAGACGCGGCTCACCGTCCCCCTCTGCCCCTTTCTCCTGCCCCCTGCTTGGGCCCTTACCACTGGACAGGACCCTGGGGCCAGGAGGAACCTCAAGAGAATGTGCAGCTTGTTCTCTCACCTCTACAGAAGATCAAGAAGGCACCTGTGAAGCAACTTGTCAAGCCTAGGACCAGGTGGCCACGCCTGGCAGGGATGGAGATGGGGACCTTAAACCCCGGATTTCTGTTCCAACGTCTCTGAAGAGGACTTAACGCTTCCTCTGTATCAGCACAAAGATCAGAAAGGGTGGAGATGAGCCACTGACTCTCCCTGGCTGAGCTTTCCTCCTCTTCTGTCTCCACCCACCCAGACCAGCGTCCTCCCAGCAGAGCCTCTTCCCAGGCAGCAGGCTGCCATCTTTATGCCGTTGAGCACTTCGGCTCCCAGTCTGTGCTGATGTGGTCAGGTGAATGGGGACTACAGGGCTGAAAGGTCGATGTAGGCTGCGTCCCAGTGAGTGCACCCAACCCCAGTTATGAATGACCCACGCAGAGCCCAACCATCAGCCTGGGGAAGCCCAAGGCCAATCAGTCTGACCGGATCCAGAGCATCAACCATGTGTGAGGTCCGGGGTCATGTCTCTGGAAGGTGCTCCCCTTCTCAGCTGTGTCCCCAGGGCACCTCCCAAGCCCTGGGTGTCAGGGTTTCCCCAGCACTCCCAGAGCACATCTCCCTATCTGTAACCTGCTGGAGGCCAAGAGCTGGCCCAGTGACCCCCAAGGACCCTAATGCCCTGGGAACTGAAAACCCTCCAGACACACTCAGGTATGTGGCAAAGAGACACACGTGGGCATGCCAACCTGTAGGCCTGGGTCCAAGTGAGACCAGTCTGCTGGGGTGTACCTGTGGCCCCTCACCCGGGCCAGTCCCATGTGTAGTCTCAAGAACTAGCCAAAGCCACATCAAGACGTGGTTTGAGGGACCCAGGCTAGACCTGAGGCCCTTGGAGAGCCAGTGTGACAAAAATACCCAAATCAGGCAGCGACTCACAGGCAGACAGATGTTCAGATCCCCAGAGCTGGACATGGGGCCAGGAGTTCTCTAGCTGCAGGTTTAAGAAGCCCCAAGAATTCTGATTTTGAAGCCCCCACCTCAAGCCCAGGACATCCCCCAAGCCAGGGCCCAGACCGAGCCCTCCAAAGAGATAAACCCGGACTTCCCCACCCCTCAAAGAAATGTCCCCCTCCCAGGGTTCCTGAATGACTTGCCTCCTAAGTCTCCATGCATATGGGGAAACTGAGGCTGAAGGGAAGGGGCTGGTCCAGGTCCCCTGCTGCGCACTCACCAGGTCTAGGCTGCACTCTTGGTTGCTCTGATCTGCAGCTGGAGGTCCCAGCCCCCCAGTCCCCAAAGGCAGGGCAGGCGCAATGCCAGAGGTTTGGCCCCTGTTCTGGCTTTTCCGGGGAGCACCTCGACCTCTGAGTACACAGAAGTCACACCCTTCTCTACTTACTGAGTGTAGGCGGGTCTGGGCTGAGGGCACCTGATAACCTCTCAGTGTATCCATGGGGCCCTATCAGGCCAAAACGGAATCCCAGCCTTGCTGAGCAGGGAGGTAGCCCTTGCAACAGGAAAAGTCAGGCCCAGATGTGCCCAGGTACATAGTCCTCAGGGACAGAGCAAGTTCCAGGTGGCTTCCAGGCCCCTGTCCTGTCCTCCTGGCCCTGTACCTCTGCAGGGAGAAGCCCAGTGTGTAGGACCCCCTCCCACTACTCCAGGACAGCCCTGGTGGCAAGAACTGACTGAGCTCTTAGGGACAGCCAAATCTCAGGCATGGCCCAAAAGAAAGCAGGCAGCAGCTTTGAAGAAATGTGCTTTGGGGCCCTCCTTGATGGGTTTCACAGCAGGCCAGTCATACCCACAGTGGCAGGGAAGGCTGGGGAACCCCCAGGCAGGGGGGTCTGGGAGTCTCTATCCATGTTCAGAACCTTCTGGGCTATTGTGGAAGAAGCAAGGAATGAAGAACGAGTCCAGACTTCAGAGGTAGGCAGCTCTGGATGGGACTCATGTGAGCTTGGCTAAGTCACGTCCCCTCTCAAAGCTTTGGTTCCTCATCTGGAAAATGGTGATGGTTCATATACTGCTCAAGAAGCTACAGTGAGCAGTGAGTGACTGAGGCAAGCCTGGCCTCGAGCAGCTACCAGGGGAGACACCAGGACCCTGGACAGAGGGGCTGCGAGGTGGCACCATGGCCAATACTCAGTCCCAGATGACACCCAAGGACCACAGCCCAGCCCAGGCACTACAAAGTCCTTTATTAACAGTTGATAAAAAAAGAAGAGAGAGAGACGTAAAAATACTTTCCTTGGAGGCCCCAGGAGGGGAAGGCACTGTCAGGACTGACCTGGCCAGGGAAAGCAACCCAACCAGAGGCAGAATGGAGATGGGGGCCCTGTCCAGGGGGCAGCTGGCCCCAGGGGAGCTGAGAGAGGGATGGCTCGGGCCTCAGGCAGGGACTGTGCAAATGCCGAGACTGCGCAGGGCGCGATGGGGTGGGGGCTTCTGCCCTGAGCACCGTGTTTCCCTGTGTGGGCAGATACATGGTTGGGCTAGCGCATTCCACCTGTGGGTGTGCGCACATGTCCACATGAGAGCCGGTGCCTGCATGCAGCTTACATACAGAGAATGGAATGAGGGGTCCCCCAGCAGGAATGAGGTGCTCATCCCAAGCTTAGGAAATAGCTTAGAGAAGTCTCCAGAAGCCTGGGGAGCAACAGGAGAGCAGGGAGTCTCTGTTCCCCATAGACCTCAGGAGGCCAGGCCCTCCTGTCGTCGCTGGAGGACCTTGATGACGTTGCTGATGCCATCCTCGGGCACCTGCGGGCAGGTGGGTGGGAGGGAGGGGTCATGGTTGATGCTGGCCAGGGCTGTCCCAACTTCCTAGCCCAGCTGGACTTCCTGCCCTCCTATCCTTTTGGGCCTTAGTCTCCCTCCATGAGACGCCCCCCATCCCAGCGCATGGTGCTTACCAGGGCATGGTCAAAGTTGAAGGTACTGATATAGTAGGCAGAGATGTCGGCAGCAGCCAGGGGACCTGCGATCTGGGCCACAATCCCACATTCATCTGAGAATTGAGGAGGGGTACATGTGGCTCACCTGGGTCACCCCACAGGCCCTTTCCCCCAGCAGAGGGAGCGGCCCTCACCGAAGCCCAGGGGCTGTCCGCCAATGCGCACCATCCTCCACAGCTCCCCCGAGGAGCTGGTCAGCAGGAGGTCACTGGGGAACCTGAAGAGGCAGGCAGGTGGTGAGCAGGGTACCCCCATCCACCCTGTCCACTATGAGCCCCTGGGGCAGGTCAGCCTGCTGACCCCAGCGTCTGACGCCCTACCTCCTCCCTCTCCTCCCACCTGGGGTCAGGAGTCACATACTTTTTCTGTGTCTCAGCATCCATGACAATGGAGATGTAGCCCTCGATGAGGGAAAAGGCAAAGAATGTGATGGAGCTGTGTTCAGGACTACCAGAGGCTGCCTCCTTGGGGGCACTGGGGAGGGATGGGAGGTTCAGGGGCCCTGCTGGGCACCCAGCCATTCCATCTTCTCCCAGTCAGCCTCCAGACCCCTGGGAAAGCCCTTCTGTCTCCAGTCCCCTGTCCCTGGGTCCCGACCTCCTCACATGGAGATGGAGCAGGACATTGAATCCTGCCCTTGCCAAAAAGGAAGGGCCCCACAGGACAGGACTCCAACTGTGGGGATGGGACTTTCCCCAAACATCAGTGAAGGATATGAGAGGGTCACAGGCTGCCAGGAACCCCGTGACACAGGACAGGGCACAGAGTTACAGAACTGACAAATGGGAGGAAGAGGGTGGTACAGAGCATAGGGAACGTGGTAGGAGGACAGAGATAGAATGCAAACAAGGCCCACCTGTGTGAGTAGAAGAGGACGTCAATGAGGATGGTGGCAATGGCAGGCAGTGTCTCAGGGTCCAGTGTGAGGACACAGAAGCGGTTTTGTGGGCTCTGGATGGGGTGCACCGTGGGGCTGGGCCCTGCTCAGGTAGGATGGGGCAGCTGGTGAAGGGCGCCAGTAGGCTCGGGCGCCCTCTGGTGGCCAGTCAGGGAGGGGTCTGGGCTGGTTATAGGTCAAGCTCTCCAGGAACCAACCTGGGTCCTTGGGCCCCACCTCCTCATCTTGTGAGGTAGTCAGGGTCAACTGTTGTCCCCACGCCCACAGACCCATACCCAAAAGGGAAGGACCCCAGTGGGAAGACAAGACCCCACCTAAGTGTAGGTGTCATGGGGCAGTCCTCACCATGCTGGGCACGGGGAAAGCCATTGCTGGAATCATCCCTGGCAACAGGCACAGGCTCCCCGCCCACCTCGCGGTAAATGTCAAACTCCTGGGCCAGCGTGTGGATCACCACAGACAGGTCCTGCTCCCGTACCTGGGCCACAGGCAATGGCACATCACAAGGGTCACTAGGTACCCATGTCTACCCCTCCCTGCCCCAGCACCTGCGGGAAACTCACCAGGATAAAGTCCGTCTGGTAAGTGGACAACATCAGCACAGACACATGGTGCTCAGCCAGTGGTGCGATGACCGAGCGGGCGATCTTGGTGACCCCAGCGGCCTGCACTGCTGCACCACTGTGAGATGACACATTCAGCACCAGCCACGTGGCTTCAGCCACTTGCAAGAACTCAGATGGAGGCAGCTCTGTGGGTAGGGGGTACATGCTCAGTCAGGGCCTGTAGGGCTGACCCTTGCCCCTCTCTGAGCCTCAACATCCCTGTCTGTACATTGGAGGTAAGAGCAGGTCTGGAGACAGGGACTGTCTCTCCCCAGTTCTGCTCGCGAAGTCTGAATGTATGCAAAGAATGAGAAGTGCTTCAGGTGCTGGCCTGCTGGGGATCCAAACTTCCCAGTTAAGATCAGAGCTCCAGATTCAGACTTGGGTTCAAACTACAGCTTTGCTTTTTACTTGATGTGTGACCTGGGGCAAGTGATTTGAGTCTCAGTTTCCTCATCTGTAAAATGGGGTGACAATCCATCTGTATCTGTGGGTTCCACATCCACGGATTCAACCAACTGTGGATCCAAAATATTTGGGGAAAAATAAAAAATAAAAAACCCCCACAACAATTAAAAATAATACATTTGAAAATACAGCTTATCAACTATTTACATAAAATTTACGTTGAATTAGGTATTATAAGTAATCTAGATATCATCTGAAGTATATGGGAAGATGCATAGGTTATATGCAAATACTATGCCATTTTATATCAGGGACTTTAGCATCTGCAGAGGGAGGCAAGAGGTTCCTGGAACCAATCCCATGCTCATACCAAGGGACAACTGTTATTTACGCCATGATAATTTGTGGCTTAACAGTGGCTTTACTTCACATGGCACCACCAGGGGGTGCCAGGAGATCAGGTTGGCTAGGGATGCCCTTTTCCTTCGGCAGACCCAGACCTCCCTGAAATTACAAACAGGGAAACTAAGGCCTGAGCAGTGGGGGATGGGCTAAGCTCCAGTTGGCTGGCCTGAAGCTCCAGGCCTGTCTGCATGGGCCAGGCCAGCAGAAATAGGAGCCAGCTCCAGGGCCCAGGGAGTAACCAGGCTGTAGTCCAGTCCTGAGCAGGGACCAGTGCCTGGGTGGCTGCTGTTCACCCAAGCACAGCCAGGAGATGGCTGCCTGATCCTTGCATTCCTTCTGCAACCCTCAGACTCCTCAAGTTCGCAGACCAGCAGGGGAGGAGGTGACCCAAACCAGGGGGATAAGTCCAGGCCGAAATAATACCCAAGGGGCTATAACAGCTGCAGGAACCCCTGCTTCTTGCCCAGAAACATAACTGAGGCCCAGCTG